GGGGTAGAGGTGTAGTTTTTAATGGTTCCAAAGGCAACCTTTCAAACAAGAGCCAGTGTCATGATGCCTTTCTGAACTTGTAAGCAGAGTGCTGTAGGGCCTCTAATGTCTCATCACAGCTGTTCAAAATGTTGTGGGCAGCAGTTCAAGTGAGAATAATCTGGGAAGTTAATCTGCTGATTGGGAAAGCTGTGAGTAGCAACTGACATAACTGTAGCAGCCAGGGCAAGGAGGGCACAGAAGTAGCAAACACATCCATCCTTAGTAGGGTAGAATTGTGGCAGCCCCCACATACACAGTGAAGTAGCCAAGAGGCTCCTGGGTGGGCTGAAGAGAAGGGAAAGCGTGCTCCTTTCTTCCAATGGCAGGGTAATGGGTAGGATTTCAAATTCACCTCTGCTAGCCAGAGACTTGTATAAAAGCTGGATGGCGTGTAATGTTGGTAATGGGATAGAAACACCTAGCCCACGGCTCTAGATCCAGTTCCCTGCTCTGTCAGAGACTTCCCGTTTGACAATGGGTAAGCCATGTAGGTTCAAATTTTGAAAGGCCCCTAAGCTATTTAGATGGCTTTGAAAATTTTACACTTAGGCTCTCAGTGCCTCAGTTCCCCATCTGTAAAATGGGGTTAATAATACTTCACTATCTCACAGGGGTGTTTGAACATAAACATATGAAAGATTGTTTGGCACTCTGATGATACGATAATTAGGGGCTATAAAATATCTAATCTAGATAAAATGTGAAGAGGGACCTGATCCATGGCTGGCACTCTTAGGCATTACTATCATACAAATAACGGTGAACAAGTATGTGGAAACACGCTTTCATAAATTAAATGGGCAAAATTTGGTGGTCACTTTGTAACACAAGGTTGGGTTTTTGTTTTTGTTTGTTGTTTTTTAGGGTTGCTGGTGCATGTTGATAAAAGAATTACACTGTCTGCCTTCAAGCAACACTTGGAGCCCTTTGTTGGAGTTCTCTCCTCTCACTTCAAGGTCTTTCGAGTCTATGCCAGCAATCAAGAGTTTGAGAGTGTTCGGCTGAATGAGACACTTTCATCATTTTCTGATGACAATAAGGTTAATCAAATGAGCTTTTGAATAATTAAAAACTTATACAATAGAACCAAATTTAGTTGGCTGACTAGGCAACTTTTGCAGACTAATTCTGTATTGGATGAAATTCACTACCCTACTTCATGGCATCCTTGCTATATTGGTAGTATTAACGCAATGTTAGAAGAGAACTAACTTTTGACTTTTAATATCAGTTCTGATGATGATTCTTTTCAATTAATAGATAACTATTAGACTTGGAAGAGCACTTAAGAAGGGGGAATACAGAGTCAAAGTGTACCAGCTCTTGATAAATGAGCCAGAAGTAAGTAGTTTTATATTTTAAAATCTTCTAAAAGTAGTGTATGAAGACACTGAAATGTGCATTAGTCTTAATTTTTGCAAAAAAAAAAAAAAAAACCCTTAAGGGTAAAATCCCACTAAATTTTCACTTGTCACTCCATGCATTCTCTTTCCCGAAAGCCTCCCTAACTAGACAATTTACATTGAAAGAACTCTCTAATAGGTGTCATGTTTTCTAATAACGTAGTGCTAGAATATTTAGTGCCATCAGATACTGCAAAGCAACACTTGTCAGAAAGATTCACTAATTGAATATGGTGATATAGCTGCTCGCACTAGACTAGTCTTGTAGTAGTGCTAGAAACAAGTGACTGTCTTGTAATAATACAATTGATTAACATAAGTACCCATTTGAGACTTATTTTTACAGACAATTGTACTTTAACTTTGTAGAGTCCATGTTTTGTCTCAATTTCCACATAAAAATTGCTTTGTTTACAAGTGCACCTGAGTTGCGCTTTATTTACACCTGTAATAAATACACTGCAGTTTCGTCCGTTACTAATATGATGTGTAAGCAGAAAAGAACAGTTGATTGAATAATGCATGAAATGAAATTGATCACTAACTTAAGATCAGACAATGGTTTGATTAAAAATCATTTTCCAAATATGAACAGTTTTCTTCAATAGAGGAAGTTCTGTACTATGGAGCCAGTAAATAGCACATTAAAAACAAAGAAGGATGGCACCAGTGTGGTGACAGGACTTATTTAATTGAAAAATAGCTTTCCAAATAATTTTAATGCCCATATATCTATTCTATTAGGAAAAAAGGCAAATGCCACCATCATATGTGGAAACATATGTTTGGTCCTGCTTTGAGCATGTTTCTGAAGTTTTAATAATGTACACAATATTTAATTCTTAACTACTATGCCTTTATTTCAGTGAAGTTTTTGGTTTGTGAATGAACTGGAAATAAGCTGCAGTGAGTTACTAATGAGCGCAGCCTGTTTTGAATCAGTTTAGTTGAGTATCTTGCTCACACTAAGTTCTCAACTGTCATTTTCTAGGGTGATGGAGACTGAGCAAGACTATAGCATGAATGAGAGATACTGTTTTTGTAAAGAAACAATACTAGCACTAATAAATGTATATTTGTTGTGTTCACAGCCATGCAAGTTTCTTTTAGATGCTGTTTTTGCTAAAGGAATGACTGTGCGTCAGTCAAAAGAGGAGCTACTTCCTCAACTCAGGGAGCAATGTGGATTAGATCTGACTATTGACAGGTAAAAAACATACAGTCAAGATTAAAACTGCTGGATTAAATACAACTAAGAGTGCCTCTGTTTCTGTTCCTCAGAAGCCAAGAGGACCTGCTATAAATATTAGGAGGAAATTTTGTTTCTCCTTTATGGGAGAAAGTATTAATATAATCAGTCACCGCTAGTTTTTTAGTGGGTTTTTTGGAGGTGGTTGAAAGGTGATCAGTTATTGTGTTGTCTGAGCCAAACTGTGAATATAAAAGATTAATTTGTGATAAATTTCTAGCCTTCATTCTGTCTGGAAAGATTGAGGGAGTGGAGTGCTGCTTAAATGGAAATGCCTTTGTTTGAAATGGCTTACCACTGCAATCTATAAGTTCAGATCTGTTTGCACTTCTATCCTGTCATGGTGGTATTGCCTGTTGGGTATGTTAAAGGTAACAATACCTCTCTAAAAGCAGAAAAGGGAAGAAAAGAAAAACACTTCACAATAAAAAAGACTAGTCTCTGAGAGATACAATCCAAACATTTCTGTGTAGAAGTAGAACAGATGCTGCTCTGTGGCATTGCTCTGACATGTTGCCTCTTCTGATTTTTCCATACACTTTAACCTCTTGCCTTAGGGCTGGAGAAGATATGCAAGATGGAGCCACATGACACCCACCCTCTAAGTGTGTCTCCTGTTTTTTTAAAGAAGAAAAAATGTTTTTAGTGGGGGGAAAGCTGTGGGTAGAGCTTGGGGGAGAATAACACCACTAATTTTTTCCCCATTCCTGCTTAAGAAGCCATTCTTCCCTCCCACTGTCCCTCTCCTTATGCACCCCATGGATTGGCCAGATACAGTCGTAGTCCCATATTCTCCTGAGCATGTGTACTCCAACTAACAAGTACAATCCTTCCTAGAGCTCGCCAGTATATGGCAGCTTTGCAATGTCTCCTTGTCAGCACTAGTTTTCAAAAGCCATAATTGAAACCTCTCTGAATAACCCACCTACAGATGAGAGATTAATATTTCAGTATTGTCAGAAAATAGAAGTATGATGATTCATCTCAGAATTCTTTGGTATGCCTGGTTTAATTTAGGCTCACTTATTCTCACACACAAGAGTCATGCATTAAGAGACTTAAATAACATACAAAGTGTACTCCAATATTTTGTATCTGCATGAGATTTCACAGTGTATTTGATTATCAACTTAATAAACTTGCTGCTATTTCCCCTTTTTAAGAATCTTGCAATTCATAGTAGAGCACCAGTTATACAATATTTAAACTGCTGTTAGAATATACGGTAGATACACTGTAGTTCTGCTGAGCGCTTCACATGTCTGATAGCTGGAGGGCATACATCAAGCAGCTTAAATTTAGTCACAAAATAAGCAGTTTTCTCTAAGACCAGCTTGCTGGCTAAAAGTAGAATTATGTTCTACATAGATCATTGGTCCCCAAGCCAGCAATTTCAGGGTCCTCTCAGAAATCTAATAGCTGAAGATTGCCATATTGGGTATGTTGTAGAGAAAAATTCTTAAGCTCTTAGCTGAAGGAGAGACTGCTCTCTAGCAACCAGCTCCAGTGGCCATGAATGACAGCATTGATATGCTTAAGGGTCCAGATTTCCATGCAGCCACTTGAAGGTGTGATGGTATACTGTTAATTTTATAAGATCTCCAGATTGGAATTTTGAGAAGCAAGAAAAGTCATATTTACTGATAGAGAGGTGAAGTTTGGTCATAGTTGAAAATCTTGGGCCTCTTGCAGGAGTGAAGACCCTGTGTGTGGCTGGGAGCAGAGTAGGGGTGGTTTGTGTAACCTCTATGTGTTAAAGGTACCATCTGTATTGTAGTCAGGAGATGTGATTGCAGCATAGGCATACCCATGCTATCTCGATCACAAATAGCAGTGAAGCCACAGGAGCACGAATAACGTCACAGACTAGCCACACACGTACATACACAGGGTCCCTGGGTACATACTTGGGCAGTTAGCATGTGCTGCTGCGGCTTCATTTACCTTTTTAGCGAACTAGCTCATTCAAAGCTAGCTTAGGTATGTTGCAGTCATGCCTCCCAATTGCAGTGTAAACACACACTCAAGTGTCGGATTTTGTGACACCTTTCTCCAGGGCTCCAAAAAAAAAAAAAAATTGTCATTGAATTCATTGCCAATGTAAGTTGGTATCAATGAACAAAATCTTACTGTTTTCTTAAACATATTTATAGGTTTCGCCTACGAAAGAAAACCTGGAAGAATCCAGGCACTGTATTTCTGGATTATCATGTCTATGAGGAAGATATTAATATTTCAAGCAACTGGGAGGTCTTCTTAGAAATACTTGACGGTAATAACAATACATTATGAGAAAAAATTAGATCCCTAACATTTTGGAGTTAAAATGCACATTTAAATTGTATCACAATGAATTCTATCTTCTGTGAATATATGCATTTTTGTACATCAATGGAATAGAATCCTTCAGCTAATAACATGTTAAATAGCTATTTTTGTTGAATGTTGGCTTATTGAATTATTTTAGGTTCACTGCATTCTACATTCTATACTTTCCTGAAGATAATTAAAACTGCACTTCAAGATTCTTTTTCAGTTTAGTTGTAGTGTATTTTCTAGACCTGAGGACTCAAATGTAAGCTTAATGCAGCCTTCTGAATTGCATAAAAACTTACCAGCCCAGGCACAAAGTCTCCTTGCCTGCACATACCATGATGATTAAAACAATTAATTATATTATTTTAGTTGATTATCAAAATTTTATTTGCCCAAGAGAGCAAAGGAGTAGAATTTTTCAAGTGTGGGGAAATAGATAGGGGGATTCAGATTATTTATTGAGACCAGTGGTGCTAGTGTGATCAAAATGGGATAATATAAATTGCAAAAGGGGGTGAGGTAGAAATTAAAAAAAAAAAAAAAGTTAACCATGATGGAGTGCCTGCTTTTTGTGTAGGTCTCTGTGAAGCTATGTGATGAAACCTCACATGTACACAGTCCTCTGGCTTTAGTTTTGAAAAATACTAGAGAAGTTTTGTTCATAGTTTCTTTGCAAACTTTTGTGTGTGTGAGAGAGATATAGATCCATATAGGTGTAATGATTGTAATTATGACTACATGTATCAGATGCTGAGAATGCAACAGTGCCTACACTTGAGGTTGCAGAAGCGTTTCCATTCTAAGTGGTAATTTTCAGTTCATCTTGATCATCTTGATTGATTGGTCTCATAGATTGCGCCAATCACAACATGTCTTCCATTCTTCTCTTATCCTGGCCTTCCTTCTCTGTGTGTCCATGACTTTTCACGATAAAATCTTCCCATCTTTTTTGAGGTCAGCTGTTTTCAGTTCCCTTGGGTACTACTTGGCAACGGCAGTAGTTCGATTGTCAGTGAGCCTCGCTAATTCCCAGCCCATTGCATTTTACTGTTCCTGCTTTCAACGACGTCCTACGCTCCACTCTGATCACTTCACTGGGGACTCGGTCGCAGATTGAGATCCCCAGAATTCTTCTTTCCATCGCTCTCTCCGTGACCGACAGTTGTTGCTCCTCTATCTTTGTCAGTGTCCATGTTTTGCTGCCGTATAACATTGCCTGCAGTACTGTTGAGTTGAAGAGATTGGCGTGTGTTGCCTTGTTGATTTTTTTCCCTTGGAGAAAATCCTCAATAGAATGGAATGTGCACGCCAACCAGCTTGCTTTCTTCGCATGAGTTCACCTTTCTGATCATGGCGCATACTAATTTTTTGGCCCAAATAGACATATTGTTCAACTTCTTCTATTTCTTCTGCCTTGACTATTATTTGGGCTTTTGGCAAGGCATTAGACTGCATACATTTTGTTTTAGAGCGGTTCATTTTCAGTCCGACTTGGCTGCTTTTTGTGTTGAGTTCTGTAATTTGATAGTGTTTTCAGCAACCAACACGATATCGTCTGAATCTGAGGTGATTTAGCTGCTCTCCATTGATGCTGATTCCACTTCCATTTTGAGGCAGGCTATGAAGAGTTTCAGTGAAACTCTATCTCCTTGCTTCACACCTTTATTGACTGGGATGCGAAAGGGAGAATCGAACAGGGTTATATCCGTAGTGCAGTCAGTTTGCTTCCTTTTGTAGTTTGATGTTGTCAAGGCTCCTTCCCCACTCTGAACTTTAGGGTACAGATGTGGGGGCCTGCATGAAAACTTCTAAGCTTAACTACCAGCTTAGATCTGGTCCGCTGCCACCACTCCCAATGGGCTAACTCCCTTCCCTGGGTAGCCTTGAGAGATACTTCCACCAACTCCCTGGTGAACACAGATCCAACCCCTTGGATCTTAAAACAAGGAGAAATTAACCATCCCCCCTCCTTTCTCCCACCAACTCCTGGTGGATCCAGATCCAATCCCCTTGGATCTAAAAACAAGGAAAAATCAATCAGGTTATTAAAAAAGGCTTTTAATTAAAGAAAAAGGTCGTCATCATCATCATCAACAGGATGGAAAATAACTTTACAGGGTAATCAAACTTAAAGAGCCCAGAGGCGCCCCCCCCCCAGCCTTAGGTTCAAAGTTACAGCAAACAGAGGTAAACACCCTAGCAAAAGGTACATTTACAAGTTGAGAAAACAAAGATAAAACTAACACGCCTTGCCTGGCTGTACTTACAAGTTTGAAATATGAGAGACTTGTTCAGAAAGATTTGGAGAGCATGGATTGATGTCTGGTCCCTCTTAGTCCCAAGAGCGAACAGCCACCAAAACAAAGAGCACAAACAAAAGCCTCCCCCCCACCAAGATTTGAAAGTATCTTGTCCCCTTATTGGTCCTTTGGGTCAGGTGTCAGCCAGGTTACGTGAGCTTCTTAACTCTTTACAGATAAAAGGATTTTGGTGTCTCTGGTCAGGAGGGATTATAGTATGGTACACAGGAGGGCTGTTACCCTTCCCTTTATAGTTATGACAGATGTAGTTTGTGTTGATGCCCTGCTCTGCAAGAGCTGTCGGCACTACATAGATCTCTACACTGTCAAACGCTTTTTCATAGTCGACGAAGGCAATGCATAAAGGAAATTTGTATTCCCTTGAGCACTCCAATAGCTGGTTTAGAGTGAAGATGTAGTCCAATGTGCTGAAATTCCCTTGAATATCTGCCTGCTTTCTTGGATGCTGCTCATTCAGACTCTGTGAGAGTCAGTTTGTTGTTTTGGTGAATAGCTTGTAGACATGTGAGAGCAGTCATATTGGTTAGTAGTTCTTTAGATCTTCACGATGGCCCTTCTTGTACAGCAAAATGGTGTTGGACTATTTCCAGCTGGATGTACATTATGCATTTCTAAGTAGCGGCTAAACCTCTGAGCAAGGGTTTTCCAGAGGTCTTGGCCTCCGGCTCTTATCATTTCGATTGTCGGTCTGTCTTTTCCTGGAGCTTTTCTTTCCTTCATTTGGTAAACTGCATGTCAAACTTCGCTAACGAGGACTGGGAGTGCGCGCACGTTGGTCTGTTGAAGTGTTCGTAGCGGGACGTTTATTTGAGGAGTGAACAGTTCGGTGTAGAAATCTTTGCAGACAGCTTCCATTCATGTTCTGTCAATAACTGTTTTTCCATCCTTGTTCTTCAGCGCCGTTATTGTCTGTGTATAGCATCAGTTCGCATTTGCATTTTTTTGAGGCTTCTGCAATCTTCCGCTGTCTTTAAGAGCCTTTCATTTCGGTATTTTCGAAGTCTTCCTTGTAGTTGTCGTCTTATCAGCTTTCAGACTAGCCAAGAAAGAGAGACCGAAAAGAGCCAAGGGAAGAATCTCAGAGGAAACAAGGAACTTGCTAGAGAAGCGGAGGAATATAAAGTGAAATGATGGCAACAAACTCCCTCCTCTGCAAATTTTCAGTTGCTTATATTTTTTTTAATCTTTACAAATTTCAGTCAAAAAAATTGTATGTTTTCAGTTAGGGAGCAAATTTTTGATAGGTTGAACCAAAACTGTTTAACCATTTTCAGATCTAAGAATGGGGGGTAAAATCCCCACTCTTTAGCCATTATAAAATACTGACTTTTTGAACAGCTCTGTCAATGGTAGAAACTTGAAATTTGGCAAGCAGATGGTTGCAAATGTGCCGTTTTGGGATCTGGTGAAAGTTATTTTGTCAGAGTTACAGAGCTTTTAAAAAGTGCTTTGCACATGCATATTGGATTTTGTAATGCAACCTCTTAATGGCCTGCCAGTATTGGTTCTTTATACAATCAGTTTAGGAAGGTGAGTAGACAGTGCTATGTTTTCTCTAAGATATCTGTCATTGCCTTAGGAAGGAGTGTGGACTCCAAAAATATTCTGATGCGTTTCATACGATGTAGAGGTTCGCTCATAAACTAGTTTCTATTTACATCAGAACAAGACATCATAATGGATCATAATATTAAGATCATTCCATTCTTTTCTTGTATGCTTTGATCAGTGGTGAAATACTTAATGTTTTTATTTACGGTGTTATAATTTGACTTCAGAATTAGTAACCCTTTGAAATGAAAAGGGAAAGTTCACATCGCTCTCAGCTATTATTTTAGGATGTCTACAGGCACTCAGACATTTTAATCACATTTTTAAAGTTTTCTTCACAACCATAAAAGGTAGAATTTAAAATTCTGGAGCACAATATTGCAGCCTTCAAGAAAACCATCAGTCTGTGAACTGTCCCAAAGAGTTCATTGAATGAGTCAGTGGCTCCTACCTCGGACACAGTGGAATTTCTTAGTTATTTCATGTTCTCTTTTTAAAATAATGTGAAATTCCATACAAAAAAGATTTCTGTACTGAAGCACTCAGAAGTCAAGGTTGTCAGTGCAATCTGAACTTAATTTCCGTGTGTGTGTGTGTGTGTGTGTGTGTGTGTGTGTGTGCGCGCGCACTTCCCCAATTGCCTTTTATTTAGGGCCGTCGATTAATCACAGTTTTAATCGCACTATTAAACAATAGAATACCAATTGAAATTACTACATATTTTGGATGTTTTTCTACATTTTCAAATATATTGATTCCAATTACAGCATATAATACAAAGTGTACACTGCTCACTTCATATTATTTTTTTATTACAAATATTTGCACTGTAAAAAAAGAAAAAATATTTTTCAGTTCACCTCATACAAGTACTGTAGTGCAGTCTCTTTACCGGGAAAGTGCAGCTTACAAATGTAGTTTTTATTTGTTACCTAGAATTATGTACAAAAAATAACTGCATTCAAAAATAAAACAAAAACTTTACAGCCTACAAGTTCACACAGTCCTATTTCTTGTTCAGCCAGTCACTAAGACAAACAAGTTTGTTTACATTTATGGGAGATAATGCTGCCCACTTCTTATTTACAATGTCACCAGAAAGTGAGAACAGGTGTTCGCATGGGACTTCTGTAGTCTGCATTGCAAGGTATTTACATGCCAGATATGCTAAATATTCATATGCCCCTTCCTGCTTCAGCCACCATTCCAGAGGACATGCTTCCATGCTGACGATGCTTGTTAAAAAAAAAAAAAAAAAAAAAGTGTTAATTAAATTTGTGACTGAACCCCTTGGGGGAGAATTGTATGTCTCCGGTTCTGTTTTACCCGCATTCTGCCATATACTTCATGTTATAGTCGTCTTGGATGATGACTCAGCACGTTATTTGTTTTAAGAACACTTTCGCTGCAGCTTTGACAAAACGCAAAAAAGGTACCAATGTGAGATTTCTAAAGATATAGCTACAGCACTCGACCCAAGGTTTAAAGATCTGAACTGCCTTCCAAAATCTGAGAAGGATGAGGTGTGGAGCCTGCTTTCAGAAGTCTTAAAAGAGCAACACTCCGATGCGGGAACTATAGAACCCGAACCACCAAAAAAGAAAATCAACCTTCTGCTGGTGGCTTCTGACTCAAAGGATGAAAATGAACATGCATCGGTCCGCACTGCTTTGGATTGTTATCAAGCACAACCTGATGTCAGTATGGACGGACGTCCTCTGGAACGGTGGTTGAAGCATGAAGGGACATATGAATCTTTAGCACATCTCTCACGTAAATATCTTGCAACGCTGGCTACAATGGTGCCGTGCGAATGCCTGTTCTCACTTTCAGGTGACATTGTAAACAAGACACAGGCAGCATTATCTCCTGCAAGTGTAAACAGACTTGTTTGTCTGAGCGATTGGCTGAACAAGAAATAGGACTGAGTGGACTTGTAGGCTCTAAGTTTTACATTGTTTTATTTTTGAATGCAGTTATTTTTTTGTACATAATTCTAGGCTTTTAAGTTCAACTTTCATGATAGAGATTGCACTAGAGTACTTGTATTAGATGAATTGAAAAATACTATTTTGTTTTTTACAGTGCAAATATTTGTAATAAAAAATAAATAAAGTGAGCACTGTACACTTTGTATTCTGTTACAATTGAAATCAATATATTTGAAAATGTAGAAAACATCCAAAAATATTTAAATAAATGGTATTGTATTGTTTAACAGTACGATTAATTGCAATTTGTTTAATCACTTCATAGCCCTACTTTTATTATATGATCACATACTGTTTTTTCCCCTCCATTCCATTGCTTTATTGAGTTTAGGTGTTGGAAACAGAATGAGACAGAATTTTGTCATGAACTAATCCGTTGGTCTGGGGGCCAGAACACCCCTGTCTCTTTCGCTGCAAAAGTTGTGTGGTCCAACCTTTGGCACAGACTAAGGCTATGTCTACACTACCACGGTAAGTTGACCTATGCTACGCAACTCCAGCTACGTGAATAATGAAGCTGGAGTCGATGTACCTTAGGTCGAGTTACCGTGGGGTCTACATCGCGGGGGGTCGACGGGAGAAACTCTCCCGTCAACTTACCTTACTCTTCTCATCGGGGTAGAGTACAGGGATCGAATGGAGAGCGATCTGCTGTCGATTTGGCAAGTCTTCACTAGACCCACTAAATCAACCACCGATGGATCGATCTCAGAGCGTCGATCCCGACTGTAGTGTAGATGTAGCCTGACCATCTCTGTTCAATATCTGTTAAAATGAGTATGATACTTTATGATCTTCATGATGCTTTGAGGAAAAATTCATTAATGTTTTTTGAGGCACTTGCATATTCTATTGATCAGTGCTGTAGAAAAGCCTATACAGAGAAAATGTTATCTTAGTGAAAGGCTTGGATGGTATGCAGAGAATGAGGCATGGGGTCACATACTGTGGCTAGAAAATGAAAATCTAGAACTGCTGTCTTGTTCAATGAGCACTAAACAAGGTTGGAGTCCTATGAAAAAAGTCACTGTGCAATGTGTTTATCATTTTTATATATATATATATATATATATATATATATATATATATATATGCATGCATATGTATACAAAGGGATGCAGAGAAGGTTATCCAGGCATATTAACATTGCAGTTTCCTGACTTTTAAGTGCTTCACTTTGCAACCTTTGATAGTTTTGACCTTTTTGTATGGAATATAGATAGCTATAATACACTCAGCAGACTCCCATGTTTGTATGTGTATATAATATATGTTAAACTCTTCATTGTAGGTAGAATATATAAAGATCTCAGAATATTCCATCTCTTTTTGCAGGGGCAGAAAAGATGAAATCCATGTCACAGCTTGCTGTTCTATCAAGACGATGGAGGCCATCAGAGATGAAGCTTGATTCCTTCCAGGAAGTAGTTCTGGAAAGCAGCAGTGTTGATGAATTAAAAGAGAAGGTGAATTGATTTTAGTAGTAAAATGTATTCAAGCATAATTTCAAAGTAAATTAAGGTAAACCAAATTAAGGCCACTTTAATTCTGAATAACAGCATGAACACGGGGATTTAATGCAGTTCAATTGCAATGATTGCATCTTAGTTACAAATGCTTGGTCAGCTGCAAGTGGAAAAAGACTGTCTTGCATGTGGATGCCAACTGAGATCCCAGTAATAGCTGAGGCTGCAGAGAAACCCTTTTCTTACCGTATATAATTCCTTGATCTTGTGTCATCGGGCGATGCTCTGGAACTACTCCATATGAAGCCAGTTAGAACTCTGGGGGAGCATGTCTCCTCTCTCTGAGCATACTGTCGCCAGGGCAAGAAACTTACACAGCTTCAACTTTCCTGGATCTGACCTTGGAGCATTCAGCATGCCCTTCCACACTGTGCATGTCCTGCAGCGAGTCCGCCCGGTTGGGGCTCCTGTGGAAGCCAGAGGGCCCTGCACCCCAACTCTGCAGTCAGATGTGACACTCAGCCAGCCAGTAAAACAGAAGATTTATTATTCAACAGGAACACAGCATAGAGCAGAACCTGTTAGCACAGAAATGATAGCAGTTTTCAGGTATTTAAAAGGGTGTCATAAGGAGGAGGGAGAAAACTTGTTCACCTTAGCCTCTAAGGATAGAACAAGAAGCAATGGGTTTAAACTGCAGCAAGGGAGGTCTAGGTTGGACATTAGGAAAAAGTTCCTAACTGTCAGGGTGGTTAAACACTGGAATAAATTGCCTAGGGAGGTTGTGGAATCTCCATCTCTGGAGATATTTAAGAGTAGGTTAGATAAATGTCTATCAGGGATGGTCTAGACAGTATTTGGTCCTGCCATGCGGGCAGGGGACTGGACTCGATGACCTCTCGAGGTCCCTTCCAGTCCTAGAATCTATGAAATCAGTGACTTTCAGCCAAGTCCATCTTAGGGAGTCCTGGGCCAGAAGCTCTGAACTCCCCCTCCTCCAGTCCCCCCAAGCAGACTGCCAGCTTGTTGCTCCTCCTCCTTCTCTTTGTCTCGCTTCCCAGGCAAAGAGTCACTGGTCATCACCTGGTTGCATCCCCCTTCTGGAACTCAGGTTATGAAGGACACTGGTCCTAGCATACATGCAGGCAGCTGGAGCAGAGGTCTCAGCCAAAGTCACACATCCCTATTCCCACCACCGAGGTATTGGTGCAGCACGCAGGGAAACTGAGGCACACACAGTATTCATGCAAAACAGTAAAACTCACATAGGCTCAACAGTAAGGCTCACATACAACACAACAAGGGAAAATCCCCACTTTATCACATCAGAAGTTCAGTTTTCTCATGACTGAACACAAATTTATTGTTTTCATCTAACACCGAATGCATTGGCCTCCTTGTTAAGTGTGGTAGTTGGTCATGAGCATGTAATGTTTATATGCCACTGTAACATGAGTGGACTCACCCCTGCGGCGCCTCCTGCTGGTCTCTCAGGGAATTAGCTCGACCCAGCCTCCAGAGCGCCCTCTGCAGGCCGGTGATCTGCTTTGCTCTCTACTTCTGGGTCCCGTGTCCCTCCCAGGACCCCGGTGCCCCTTGCTTGGGGTGCTGCGCTCTGGCAGTACCCACACGCTAGGTCTCCCCTCCCAGGGGAACCCCCACCCGCTAACCCTACCTCGCCTCAGTATCCGGCTACTGTCAGTCACCATCTAGCCCCATGCCCAGGGGCAGACTGCAGTATCAGCCACTCATCACAGGCAAGGTTGGGTTTGGGCCTGCTGCCTTGGCCTATCTCCGGGCTGCCCTCTGCAACCCCTAGTACCTCCTGGCCTAACACTAGGCCGCAGCCTGGGGCTTTCCAGGCTGGAGCTCCCCAGCTCCTCAGCCTTTCCCCAGCCCTGCTCCACCCAGGTACTCTGCTCTAGTTCCCTGCAGCCAGGCCCTTCTCTCTCTGCACTCAGAGAGAGACTGCTGAGCTTCTGGCCGCCCTGGCCTTTATAGGGCCAGCTGGGCTCTGATTGGGGCATGGCCCAGCTGCATCTACTTCCCCCAATCAGCCCAGGGTGTTCTCTCTCACCCCCCCCATCCTTTCCAAGGGCTGTTTTTAAACCCCTCAGAGCAGGAGCGAGTGACCACCCCGCTACAGCCACGCTATGTACTATCTTCCTGTGTGCTTCCAGGTACAAATCAAGTTACTGATGATCATGAATCCCCTAATGGCAATGGATCCTATCATCTCCAAGACTGCCTTTTTCATTTAGTGTCACAACATTTGTGGTTGGCTGCTCTTGCTGCATGCCTTCAGAGTTAATCTCTAGGGAGCAGTTGGCAGCGTGTTTTTTATGGCCTCATCTCTTGAACTTGTTCCCATCTGCACTATGCAAAAGCTTGAATTTGACATTTAAAATGTGGTACAAGACAGATTTTCAGTCAGTCCTTTTATTTCAGCAGAAATTTATTGGTGGATGGTGGGGATGATATGATTCATCAGTCGTTTAGCTTTTGTCAGGTTGTTTTTGTTTATTTGTATTGATACACGCAATAAGTTGTATAAATAAAATGGTTTGTAATATTGAGAACCAACGTTGCTGGAGTCAAAGATGTAATCTGAGGCATGTGGTCACTTTGCATCTTGAACCCCAGATCAACTATGTTTCTATTTTAAATTTTTCTATCTGTTGGAAATTTGATATTATATAAGGGTCTCACAGAAGTGTCAGTTGTGACTCCTCTGTCATGTACTAACTTAATTGCACTAAAAAGCATCAGCTGTGTTCTTGAGATAACCACTGCTTAAAGAAAAATTGCGACATATGGGATGTTGATAAATCGAAATAGGTATCTTTTCCTGCAATTTTGAATTCATTTTTGTATCACTGATGTGTCTGAATTTCTTACTGGCCTTTACAATTTGACGAAGACTTATTGATGTTCATATGCTTCACTGTATGATGGCTTGAAACTGTTTACCTCACTGAAAGAAATTAATGTATTGAAAATGTTTGTTTTACAGCTTAGTGAAATAAGTGGAATACCCTTGGAATATATAGAATTTGCTAAGGTAAGTAGAGTTATGTAGAAATTGTATATACTCATTTCGGGTGCATACATCATTATGCTGTTTGGATGATTTATTCACTGAATAATTGCTTCTTTCCAGGGGAGAGGCACATTTCCCTGTGATATTTCAGTACTAGAGATCCACCAGGACTTGGACTGGAATCCTAAAGTGTCTACATTGAACGTCTGGCCTCTCTACATTTGTGATGATGGCGCAGTAATATTTTATAGGTATATATTTTATTGTAGTATAATGATAAGCAACAAATACTCTATGTATAAATAAGGTTCTAACAACCAACAGAAGCCTGAAAAACAGTTCATGCTGAAAATTCTGCTGTTGTTTTGAAGAAGAAAAATGTCCAACAATGGGAATTGAAAATAGAAAATCAAGCTTAACTTTGATTGAGGCACTTCAATTATAAATTTGTGTTAGTCCTTAACTTCTGTTTTACTAATATGTGCTAAATAAATAGTAAGCATTATGCTTGGAAATAAGTGTGGATTTCAGAAGTTTTGGCATTATCTTAATTGTAGCCAGGATTTCACGCATTGTGTTGAATTATGTAGCATTTGCTTAATATTTTACATTAAGCAGTTATGTAAATGAAGTAGATAATATCTTCTGGTTTTAAGGAATCTTTGCCGTGACGTTTTTGAATTGACTTTACTATATAGTATATATTGACACTATGATAAACATGTGAAATTGGAAGCCATTCTAAGGGATCATGTAATAAGCAGAAGCTTTTTTTCCCTATTGGTACTAGTTTGAAAAATATTGACCTGTTTATTCAGGGTCATTGCAACCTGTCTGGCCAGTGTCAGTGTTTTATGTGCACAACACATCCATATCTTCAAACTGAACTATATTTTCGGTGAAATTGTTTTCCATATTTTAAATGCCCAAAGGGTGAAACTGACTGCTGTGCAGGGGGCCAGCACAAGGCATAAGCACCATTGAAGGCCTCAGAAAAGGGCTCTACATCTAATTCTTAAACCACTAGGCCACAGCGACTCCAATTCTTGTTGTTCGTCTGTTTCTAGTCACTCTCTGTAACATGTGCCATTCAGATGGTCACCTAAAATATTGCCTCGCTTTTTCATCTGCCTGACAAAAGGAAAAAACATCTGTTAGACAATTCAGTACTAAAATAATTTGAGGGTGTTCTTTTGGCCTTGTAGTTTGGTTAGCTCAGAATGCAGTTGTTACCTCATAAAATCTTCAATTTATTCTGTAGTCTGAAGTTACTTGAACAAAGTTTTTGAATTAAGGGATAATATGAAGGCTGAGCCATTATACAGAACAGTAAACAGGTTCCTAATTGGATATATTTTATCCTGAATAAATTAGATTTGGAACATGGGACTTCAGCCCACTCCGCAAATTTATGAAAAAATTTAGATCTGGGGATAGCAGACAAAAAGAGGGAGGTGAATAGTGTGGTGGACTTGAGGAAGAGCCAGAAATAAAAGAGCAGATGGGGTTTGTGTGTCCCGTGGAGCGGCTCGCTGGCATATTGTCAAAAGCTGCTGCTGGCTAAAGAGTAGAGTGGCAGCTGAATGGGAGGAAGCTGTGTTGCCAGGCAGGGGTGGAGTGAAGAGGCAGTGTGGGGCTTGATGAAGAGGAACTTTGAAGTGAACTCGGAAAACTGGCTTAGTATAAGGCTTGGTCTACACTACATGGGCCTACATAAGGCAGCTTGTCTGTCAGTGTCTACTTTACAGCCTTGCTCCTGGCCGATGTAAGTGCCCTACTCCGCCTCCATGAGAGGCATAGGGTTTGTGTCGGTGTAGTTAGGGTGACATAGTGTCTGTATATAGGACTCTTAAGTGCAGATCTCCCGACTGAAGACGAGAAGCCCCAGGTGGCTTCCCTCTGCTCCTGACTGGGAGCAGGAAGGTGAGAAGCCTGGGGGGCAGCTGGGGTCCCAGCAGGGAGCTGCATGGTGGTGAGAGCCTGGGCTCTCAGCCCCCACCCCCCCCAGTCCCTCTTCAGTCAGTGGAATCACTCCTGGTGAGTACGTGCACCACTAACAGAAGGAGGGTAATGTGGACATCAGCCACCGCAGTAATTACTGCAATGACTGCAAGGTAAACTAACATAGGTTGATTTAAGATTGTAGTTTAGACATGCTTCATGTTTCAACTTTCTAGGAATGCCAAGGCTCTCTGATTTCTCCACACTGCTAAAGTGGCCCATTGCAACTAAAAGGTTAATTGAATTAAAGTTCAATTGTCTCCTTCAATAGCTGTAGAACCACTCCTTGACTTGAAAGCCCAGATACCGCTTTGCAATTATATTCCCCCCCTTCCCTTCTCAATTTATTACCTCAGTATTCCTTTTTGTAGCCAATTTAGCAAAATTTTGGAGAGATCTAGCATCTTGTTCCTTGGTTCTTTCTCTTGTTTCCTTACATTGGGTCTGTCATGTTTAATTCTGAGTGTCTCAGAAAACACCATGCTTTGCACAGAGGAGACTTAAAATGGAGAAAGGTTAAAGACCTTAGAGAGAGCGAACCTGCGTTTTGTGAGATACCTTATGACGATCTACAGTATGAAAAGTCTAGCAGGCTCTTTTGATTTAATGAGACCCCCTCACTTGTATAACTTTTGTAATTTTACTATAGCTGATTTTTAAACTACAATTTTATTTTATTTTAGGGATAAAACTGAAGAATTAATTGAATTGACAGATGAACAGAGAAATGAACTAATGAAAAAAGAAAGCAGCAGACTCCAGAAAACTGGACACCGCGTAACCTACTCCCCTCGTAAAGAAAAAGCACTAAAAATTTATCTGGATGGCGCCCCAAATAAAGAGTCGACTCAAGACTGACATTTACAATAGCATTTCCCTTGGGGAATTTTTTTGTTTTAAATAATTAAAAAAAAAAAAAAGTTCACTACTACTGTGTAGTGCCATTACGGCAGGACACTCATTAGGTGTAAAGCAATGACACCAGCACTGATTGGGCTGCAGTTTACCAATCAGAAGCTCAGTGCCCAGTCGGGCCACTGTTTGACTTTGAATCATGTTGTGCACTATAGTCAAATGTACTGTAAAGCTAAAGGGATGTGCAAATAAAAAAAATTGAATAGAAAAAATGGGGAGGGGCAGGGAAATGAGTGGAAATGATTGAGGACAATGTGCACATAGTAGCTAGTAAAACTAGCATCAAACAGGATACTCATAGCTTAATAATAAAAGCTGTGCAAAGGCCATGAATGAATTCTTTTGTTTGTTTCAATGATACACACATTACCTCATTGAAGGTTTGGAAGTAAATGTAACACATTGGCTTTTGGAAAGCAGCAAAAATGGGGTGAAGATGTAACGGAATTTTCAAAAGCCAGCTCTAAAAGTTGTCAGGTTTTAGAAGAATCCTGGACTATTCTTCCTTAAAACAGATGGTCTAAAACAGGTACCTTTAGAAAGTTACCAGGAGGTCTTGGCTCATTTTGCTCAAGTATTGTAAGGTAACTCTTTTAAATAGCTTATGAAAGCAGAAGAGCAACTTTACTATATTGCATTCAATGTGTAAATAAAATCTTCCCTGTCCAGTTAGCAGAACTATAGTTCAGCTACTTACCATAGTATTTCTTTTCACATATCAATATTCGTTGTGTACATTTGAAAGTATAGCTGCCTATTTAAATTTGTATTCATTTTGTTTGGCAATGCTGGGTACTTTAGGGTTGCATTTCCCTTTGTTAATGAGTTTTTTGGTTGTTTTTTTGTTCTGCTACTTATTTTTGTACATTTTGTTTTTGAAGACTTTATTACAAGTTTGCATTTTCTAGTCCCATTGCAAGTCACACTTTAATTTTTCCTGGAGTTGATTCATAGTTATTTGTAGTTTAAACATTTTGGCAACCTCTAACACCTCACAGTATAAACTTGCTGGTAGTTCAGGTTGTGGTGCAGATTGATGCAGTCAACATGATTTCATTGCAAATCCTAGAAACAGCAGGTTTTTGCTTCGCTACATAAAGATCAATTGAGAACAAAAACTGTGTAGAATTGGAAATATCAACTAATTTATAACAATCAATAAAAGGTTTTGGTAAACTTTTTCATGCCTGATGCTGTTTACAACAATGAACATGCCAATAAAACATTTGTTCATTCTGTTGTGTTATTTTAATCATTAAACTTCCTTGGGGTTTTTTAACCTGGAAAGAAATGATAGAATTGCTTCATGTAAACCTATAGAATCACTTTTAAAATTCAGATACTGCCTTTGAAGGTACAAATACAAAGTATCAAGGAGAGTGTTCATATGGAGTACTCTGGTCTAATGTACTTATGTTCATAATAGAAGATTTATTAACTAATAACTTCCTTTCTGGAAATGAATTCTTTCCCCAGTGCAAAATTTTAGGTTGCAACTCCTTTTTTTCCCCTGCAAATACCAGAGGCAGCACAGACTTGTCTTTGAGCTGTGGAATTTGGCTATTTCTTTCCAACTTGACTCACAGGTGAGTACTTCCAAAGATGTATATGAATACGAAGGGCTCAGATCTGTCCAGTGGCACAAAGCAGACAAAGTCAGTAGAATTGTAGCCCCCTGAGGATTCACCCTGTGGGGTGGGGAATATTTGCGTGGCATAGAACCTTCATTACGGCTTCATGCCTCACAGTCCCCAACTTAGGTGGAATGGGTGTGGGAAGAAAGGGAGCATTGTGGGAATATCTTAGCGCACTGACATCTCTGGCTGCTGGAATGACTTTATTATAATGTAGCAGCTATATATATGTAGACATGTAGGAGTATGTCTACACTGCAGTTAAACATCCGTGGCTGGCCCATGTCAGCTGACTAAGGCTGCAGGGCTGTAAAATTGTGGTGTAAATGTTTGGGCTCAGGATGGAGCCTGAAGTCTGGACCCCACAAAGGGGGAGGGTCCCAGAGCTTGGGCGCCAGCCCCGGTCCAAATGTCTACACTGCAGTTTTACAGCCCAAGTCAGTTGACATGGGAGAGCCGTGGGTGTTTAGTTGCAGTGTAGACATACTCTATGAGGCTGTCACAGAAGCACTGAAGGCCTTATGGTTGGGAGGAATAGCATACAAGTTGTTCCAGTAAAGGAAATTGTTGGGTACATTTTTTTTTTTTTTATTCTGGATCATGACCTTTCCTTTATGCTGTTAGCCACTTGGGGCATAACAGTTGCTATGGGAAATCTAGGAATGGGAGAGAGGAAAACGTAAGAGAAAGGAACAAAGATTTTAGTTAGACTAGTTTTTAGGGAAGGGGGAAATCTTAAGTACAACTGTTTGGAGCACCTTCATGTTTGGAAGATTCTCCAGAGGAAAGTTCAAGCCTGGAGAGCTTAATAGAAATCTTGATGAATGACCACAAGACAGCTTTAGAGATTTCCTTTCTGGTGACTGATGCCCTTTTGGCACAGGATACTGCAGTAGAGCATGTTGAATGGGTTCTGATTGCTTGTGGGACTAGTATTTCAGCAGCTGTGTAGGCGCTGGTAAAACAGAATTTAGGTTTAGAATCTTTCAGACCTGGGCACTTAATGTGAGAAGAAACAAAAAGGGGTTGACATTTTCCTAAACACGTTAATTCAGCTAAGCTAAATCTGCAGTTCTTTTCATCCACCATCTGCTATGCGCTCTTTCAGGTGTTGAGCTCTCAGGAAAAGTGAAACAACAACAATAGTCCATGATGTATGTAGAGGAGTAATCTTGCCTTTCTGAACTATTCAGTAAGACTCATGCTTCCTAAGAGCAGAGATTTTATAGACTCTAAACTGAAAGAATTGCGAACAGGGAACATGTTTTAGGGAAAGGAAGCATAGGGATTAAATACCTTCCATTCAAATTAAATGGGTCATGAGGACCTGTGGCACTGTGGATGCATCTATGATAGAGAAGATAGGTCTGTCTTTTTGGATTGATATGTTGCCCTAAGGAACCTCAATACTATTGGTAAGCTACCAGAGGCTTGGATGAGTTTGTGTTTTATAATATTATTTAGCACTAAGAGATGAGATGCAATGACAGTAATTCTTAAGTCCAAATCTGGGTAGTTTTTCAGGAGATGGAAGGGCTGTTTTCCTGGCATTGATCATGATGATATGGCACCTGTAGGAAAATTTTGTTGATTCTCGCTGCTCAATTGTCAAGCTATCAGATTCAGCCTGTATTGAGATACACTGCTTGCTGGAAAGATGAAGTGGAGATCTGTGGTGGCTCCATACCCTTCCTTAATTATGGGTGGTGACAAAGACCATTGCTTCCTCCCTACTGCCACCCCCGATCTCATCAGTCTTTCTAGTAGCAGAAGAGGACAAGGTGTGCAGCAGCCTCTTTATCATCTGAATCAGAATGTCTATTAACAGTGATATTTGGCCCAGTGGATCAGACACGAGCTTGAATCAGGAAACCCGGATTTCATTCCTAGTTTTTGCTGCTGACCTATTCGGGCAAGTCACATAATCTTACTGTGGCTGAGTTTCCATCGCTAAGCCCCTTCGTTTTCAGTTTAAACCAATTTTTACTGAAAAATTCCTGGGTTTTACAAAAACTATTCTTTTTTTTTTCTGATTTTCACCCTACTTTTGTATCATTCAAATATATAAAAAACAACTTGTTTTATTAGGAAAATACAATACATTGCATGAGATACATTTATTACGATAATACATTAGCCTGTGTATATGCAAAGCTGCCCCTCGAAGTAAGACGATGTAATAGTCTTGAAGACGCACACAATAAACAAACCAGCCTGCATGCAAGCTTCGAAGTGCGTGTGCATCTGAACGTACGGATGAATCTCATGCCCACCACCTACACATTTCAAGCTGTTGGCTGATAACGGTTTAAAGATTTGAGACACTAAAATGGGAAGAAAATCTATCAGAATACATTTCAGAACACGAAGCATTCAAAAGTTTACAAAATACAAAAACAGGAGAAAAGGATGAAGTTGAGTGTATGCGCTGCAAATGGTGTGGCCCAATTATTAAATGTAAATATTTATAGGCTAATAGGTCTAAGTCTACAACAGTAAGCTGTTTATTCAAACGAAAACTTTTATTTGGGGTTCAGAGATGTATTGTTTTCTTAAACTCAGAGGTGACATTGTTTTGAGTTCTGTTTTAGTTCTGCAGCAAACCACATTGATGAACGGACTTCAAAGCATTAATCTATTGCATACTTCATAATTTCTCTGGGTAAATATTGGGGTTTATAAATTTTTGCACTGAATTTCACCTGTTTTTGTTGTTGAGGTAATAAACACTGATAAATTCCCAGGGAAAATGAAATAAAAGAACTGAAAACGAAGGACCCTACCTATCTCTAAAATGGAAAGGCTGACACTTGCCCTCTTTTGTAAAGCACTACTCAGAGTTGTTTGCTGTGCCAGTGTTTTTGTGTTCAGAATTGTTATTTGGATCCACCCTCGTGTAGGCTGAGTGACCCATCTGCCAGAAGAACCTGTATTACTTCGACTTGCAGATGTGAATTTTGACTGCCACTTGTCAGTTTGTTTATTCCACAGTTGTTGTCTGAACGAACCAGGTAATATTTTCATTGGGTGATCTTGAGAGTCTTGAATAGCCAGTTTGGAAATTTTTTGTAACTAAGGCCCTGGAGCTTTTCTGACCTTGATCATGTTCACTGTGTATATGTAAAATGAACCTGGGTGCTTCCATATGAAAGAAGGGAAGTGGTGTGGTAAATAGGTTATGCCAGCTGTGTGGAGCCATTCACTGATTGCTATAGCCAGCAACAGGCGTTTCAGCTGTGGCTTAAACTCACTGTGCTTATGAGGATTGAGGCTTTTCAGGTTATTGCATGACATGGCTCTGGTGAAGTGTGGTTGTCAAAATTGTGGCGAGATGCTAACAATGGTAGCTTCTCTTCTGTTGGAGTCCT